GTAAACTTATCGCCATTTCAGTAGGCTTGTCTACTTTTCTATATTACTTTCAAAAAATGGACGCATTAAAAATAAAAATCAAATTGTAATGATTCAAAGCTTCTATAATTCGAAATGTTGCAATACCGTTTCTTTTTGTACTATAACGAGAAATTTAGTTGAAATTTAGAATTATTTATTATTTTAAATTTAGAATTATTTTAAATTTAGAAATTTAGAAAATTTAGAACTAGTTCCAATGAGCATCATTTCTTTATGTCCAGTGAAGCTATATTCCAGCGCACATTGATTCGAGAATGTTTTTTATATGATCTTTAATTATCAAACCTGGCTTTATCTCCAATAGATCGTCTTAAATCTTTCGATGAAGGCAACTCATTCTCCTCGCTTAAAACGCTTTTTGCCCTCATATTTTTTAAGTATTTCCATAAATTCTCTCTTGTGCTCTTTTTGCGACACCGTTATGCTTAATGAACACTCCAGCCCTGGCGGATGTTGAATTCAAACATTCAAACACCATAGAAACAATCTCTTAAATCTGTCAATAGCAGTGGAGGCCCATCTGTTATATCCAAATGACTCTCTTTCAAAAAAATCTTTTCAAAATGATCTATCCCTTGTGGCGTTTATATAACTTCCATATAATGATTTACAATGTCGAGATGTATGGTGAATGTGCATGTTTAAAAGAAAGCATATCAATAGTACAGCAAACTCTTTGTTCTCTCTATCGAGTTGAAACCATTCGACATTGTCTAAAGCCTTTATTTTTGCTAAAAACCTTCATAAACTCTGTTAAAATTCCGCCAAAGTTAGCTATTTTTATTATTATTCATTAATAACAGTTCTTATACCACTTTTTAATATTTTTTTAACGCTCCACATCTAACTCTTAAAACCATCCAGCTTCTCTTTCTCTTTATGTAACGCATTTTTGCCACTACAAATTATATTAATAGAATTGTAATGGATAACATGACGGAAGTCAGGAAATTTTGATGGAATCATATAGGAAATTACGGAGGAAGAAGAGAAAGATATTAAGAGAAAACAAGAGAGATTTGGCAGGTGAGAAAATAATGTAAATAATAGTATTAGAAGCAGTTTAGAGGATTCTAAAGTGATAGGCTTGGATACGAAAGGCGGCGCCATTCTCTGGAACTATTTAAAATATTTGCAATCCATCGAAGAAAGCAATTCATTGAAAAAGGCATGAAAAATTAACAGAATTATGTTCGTATCAAATACGTGGGCTTAGCAAAATTTAAAATACATTTACTCATTGGTAAACCAATGGCATAGGGAATAGAACGGCTCAGTGGGTGGTTACTCAATTAGGAGTGCCGATGCTGAGGTTCGATTCCCCGCAGGAGGAAATCTGTACAAAAAATCCGGGTGATGCTGGCGACTCACCTGTATTTCTATTGCCAAAGAGACTCCATGGCATATTGCCAATTGTGACAAGCCAGTGAAGCGAGTTTCAGTAATGGTGAGGACTCTTAAAAAAAAAAAAACCAGTGACAGGCCGAGTGGCATGGTTTTTTCGATCTGGCGTCTGCAAGTTCCATTTTTTGATCCAATAGTAAAGCTGTCATTTAAAAGTGGCTCTTCGCCTGTAGCGTCGTGTCACTAACAACCAGCAACCTAGTCCAAAGTGATGAGAGCTATGATATCGACGAATTAAGCAAACAAGTATGTTCTTATGGGTTGTTTTTAGTAGGCATTCGTTGACCATTTGTATCAATTACAAATTATCGTATATGAGTGAGATCGGCTAATTTTGAAGTTCTTTCAAGTTGACGATATTTATGTTTGAAGAACCTTACCTAACTATGATTTTTTTTTTTTTAAGAGCCCCACCATTATTAATTAAACATCGCTCCGTTGACTCGCACTAAACAAATATGCAAGGGAATCTTTTGGCGATAGAAGTACAGGTGAGTCACCAGCATTACTCGGATTTTTAAAAAGGTTTATTCCTACGGGGAATAGAACCTCAACATCGGCGCTCCAAATTGAACTACAAGCCACCTAATCTTACTATAATAATACAGCTAATGATTTAAGACTGTCAAATCGAGATTTTTCCAGTGATCAAAAAATTTAACCTTTCATATTTTTCTTCTTCATTATTCATAATTGAATCATTTCATGCTTTTTTTTTACTACAGTGCTAAATTTAAATTAAATTATCTAAATTCATAAATGTTAAGCAAGTGACACAAAATTAAAATTAAGTACTTTTGAAGAAATTCATATATAAAATAAGCAAAAAAACTATTCTAATGGATTCCATCTAAAGAGGTAAAATGGTTCAGTGCTATACATTGGGTGATAAGTAAAAAATAATGGCAAAAGTTCGACCCTGGCAGGACTCGAACCTGCCATCTTCTGATCCGAAGTCTGGTTTGTTGCTTAATTCGGAGCGCCGATGCTGAGGTCCCACTCTCTGTAGGAGTAAACCTGTGCAAAAACCTGAATTATGCTAACGACTCACCTGTACTTCTATCGCCAAATGGCTCCCTGGCATATTTGAGCAAGTGCGAAAAGCCAGAGGAGCGAATTTAATCAGTAATGGTGAGGGCTCTCAAAAAAAGATTCCAGTCTATGAGCCATGAGCAGTTTGCTGATTTAAGATTTTGTTACAAAATAAATTGTATTTTTCATTGTTTCATTATATTATCGACGGCTTATTGTCAATATTTAACAATATAATTTATTTTTCACACAAATCTTGGATGAAATCTTGGATATTTTGGTTTGTTTAATTTTTTCCTTCCTTACTTATGTGAAAGACTTTGGTTTTTCAGTGTCCATGCTCTAATTTGCAATTTTCATTTTTCTTCAGACCTTTCAGCCATTAAGTCCGGATTTTATTTTTATTAAATTAATCGCAATTTCATGAAATCTTTGGTCTAAATTAAAAGCCTAGGGTCATAAATGCAAAAAAAGTGATCATAAAAGCCACTTGTTTCCATTCCGTTCAATGAATCTGACCTATTCTATCATGATCGGCTGATATAGGCAAATTTTATGAGGTATTCAATCAATTCAGCGAAAAAATCAAAAAATTTTTTATCCCTATTGTAGGTTTAGTTGATTAGCATAAAAAGTTCGCATCTATATAGTCATCATTCGTTTGATCTTGCTATGTGGTTCTGAGACATGGCTAATGAGAGTGGAGAATATTAAGAAATCATCTGCCTTTGGCCCTTTTGTCTAAGGTACATTTTACGGATCCGTCGAGCGGATAAAATCGCACATGATTGCATCCATCTTCGCTCAACAACCACCTGTATTAATAATGTTATCACAGAGCGTCGCCTTTGGTGGTTACGGCATATTCTCCATCGTCCACCACAAGAGTTGTCGCATATTTCTTTGCTTGCTAAAGCGTGTGATGGATGGCGTCAAAAGCGTGGTGGTCCAATCAAGACTTGGACTGATACACTCAAGAAAGATTTTGAATGCATATATGGACTTAGATGATAGAAAAAGGAATGGCTTCCATTACTGTCGACGATGGCATCAGACCGCACCGCTTAGAAGCGTCTTACCCTTGTAACCGTTGGAGCCAGCCTAACCAGTAATGGTGAGAGCTGCCAGAAGAAAGAAGAAGAAAAAGGATGAAGTTGATGAGGATGAGCTAAAAGTTCATAATTTTAATTCATCAAAAACAAATCAAATTAAATCAAAATTAACAATATTTGCTGGATTTAATTCCCGAACTTGTTTACTTTTTTTAAAACATTAAATTGATTGAAGAGACACATGAACAAAATACACCATATGAAAATTTTTTGTGAAAAATGATTCTTAATTAAAGAGTTTGTTTTTCGGGTGGTTTCTGTCCCTAATTATGTTTAGCAGAGATTAATTTATTATACAATGGAATGCTAGCGATTTGCAAACATCTTTACTTTCGATTTATATAAATTTTTCTTTATGCATTAATAAATTTTCTTTTTCTTATCAGATTTTAACAATTCAGATAATGAATATTTAAAACTCGACTGACTAGTTGGTTCACTTAAAGAAAGAATAGCATAGCGAAGTCGTGCATTTCTCAGATTATTTTGAGAACCATTTTCGGCGCTTGTCCTTGATAAGAATAAACTTATCATTAAAAAAACCACTAGCGTTCGGATCCACTCTTGCCCCGACGTTCACTGACGAAAGTGTCTCATCCTAATAGTCAACGAAGCACATATGGCGAGTGCTAACAGTTAATAAAGAAGTTGCTCAAAAGTTAATGATATGCTGTTGGCCTCTCCTGTTCGAGGTTCTTTTCGTTCATTTTCTGAAGTGAATGTTATTATATAAAATTACTGATAAAACAATAGATAAGTAGCTTTATGCTAAATTTCAAATTTTAAAATTGCTCTTTTTTTTCGGCTATTATTCCTTATCTCTTTATAATTTTAAGGGTAAGCATTGCGAAGCTGCATAAGAATAATGTGAAAATTTTTAAAATAGATCGGTTTATCATTTCGACATTGTAGTTTTAATTATTAAGCATCTAAGCAGCGTCTATTTCGCATTATTATTCGTTGTTGTTGTTTAAGAGTCCTCACCATTACTGGTTAAATTCGCTCCACTGGCTTGTCGCATTGGGCAATATGCCAGGGAGTCCCTTGTCGATAGAGATACAGGTGAGTTGCTAGCATCACCCGGATTTTTGCATAGGTTTACTTCTACGGGGAATCGAATCTCAGCATCGGCGCTCCTAGTTGAGCAACAACCCACTGAGCCCTTCTATCCCCTACTATTATTCGTTTATAAATATCGAAACGAATCAACTAAATTTGGCAAATTAAAACTTTTTGTTCTTTTTTTTTCAAAAATCAGTTGCTGGGCATTTGCATTAAAAAACTGTTTACATTTAAGTGTGAAAATAGTTATTGTTAATGCAAAAAAATTCCCGCAAAAATACTCTCCATATTTAAAAGATTTTATTTTCGAAATATTTAAAGCAGGACGGTTCGATCAAATCAAATCATATGGCTTCCTCATTACCAAATAAGGATTTATTGCTGAGTATTGCTAATCGAGATCAAATATCTGCTGCTATTACAAGAACAAATACAGAAAAATTGAGCAAAAAACGTCGAGATCAATTGAAAATCACCGTACTTTTTTGTTTCTTCGTTTGGTGACGGCTTGTAATCTAAAATTTTTTTTGAGAAAGCTTCTTCATTTAGGCAGTTGAAGAGAACAGAAATTCAACATTACAACAGAAGACTGTGCCTTCAGAATCAAAGGGTGGTCAAACGATCTGGCGAAATATAATTTGGCTGATCATACTATTTATCTATTCATTCATTGGTGGTTTAGCGTTTAGTGCAATTGAAGGTCTTGTTAGCCTTTTTTTCAAGTTAGCGAAGTTAAAAAAATCATTTATGCTCAGATGATGAACGAAATCTTATCCTTCAGTTTACAAAATATCAAAACATTTCAAAACAATTTTTTGCATCATTTTGCACTGCTTACCATTTGTTCCTGTTTTTAAACTAGCAAGTAATGATCGATTATTTCATCTTGTTCTTGATTTCTGGTTTTTCAAAGTTTATTTTAATGTAGTTATAAAAGTCATGGGGTTTCCTAGGGATGTTTATTTGCAATGATTTAACCATCTACTAGAAATAAAGAAAGTAAAAAATGCATATATTTCAGGCGGTCATGAAAAAATTGAACGATTAAGGGCTTATGAGCGTGAACTCGATTTTTATGAAAATCGGCTAAAATATCAATATCAGATATATATGTATTTCTTCTCAATAAATTTTTAACTTATTAATTTTGGAATAATGTTTGTTTAATGATGTTGAACTTCGTTTTGAAGATCTGTCCAAAAATCCATCAAATTTTCTAATCAACTTTTTAAAGTATCGGTCGATGACTGAATTTATTTATTTATTTAAGTGATAACCCGAGGCTAAATGCCATAGATTAGTTTTAGAAGGAAAGAAGCAAAATAAAAATAAAGATGCAAAAAATAAAAGCTATGAAATCTATCTAATATTCTAATTTCTATCAGTGGACTGAGGATGTATCGCATCTTCAAATTATTTCTTGAGCAGTGTTGCAAGCAATGTTTTTTTTTGAACTGGAGATAGATGAAGAAATTATGAGACAATGACTTTATAGTTTCTCATTTCTCTAATTTATCTTCTTTTCTCTTATTTGAATTGTACGAATTTCATAAAAATGCAAAGCAGATAAACTTTTATTTCATAAATGTTTTATAAACCCAACGACTGGTGCCATAAATTATTGAATTAAAGACAAATGAGGAGGAATATTTAGGTAACACAACGATTTATGTCTTAATGAGCCATACAATATATTTATGTAATAACATAAGGAATAACAAAAAGGAGGATCCTTGAGTCATTAAGATGCTTAGAACTAGAACGAAAGGATGGCAACATCCTTGTTAATACTTTCAGTTAGACCATTAAGCTATAGTCATTTGATATTACATAAAGTGCTTTTTTTGCCTATGTGCACTGTTACTATCAGCGGGAATTTCTTTAAGATTTAACTGATACTAGTAACCCTCAATATCGAAATGTCAAGCTAAAGCAGCGGGAAATTTTTTTCATTCTTTGCCATTAGGAGGATGCAAATCTTTTGCAAAGAATATTAGTGATCAACCAATCAACCAGTACTCCATTCATCTAAGAGTCTTTCCATTTAGAAAGTTACGTGAAACTTATCTCGATACATCGTTCAGTATGGGTCAAATGGCTAATGCGCCAAGTGCTGATGAGACCAAAATGACGATTGTCCGAGAAATTTTCGAGTGGTATGACAAACAGCTCGGTGTAAAAACAGAACCGCCAGCAATGGAGGATACGAAATGGAACCTTTGGGGAGGAGTTTATTATGCAGCAAGCTTATATACCACAATTGGTAAGCTTAAGCAGTATCTTCTAACAAATGCAAATCCAACATTAAACTTTGTTGGTGCAAAAGGAAAAAAATGGAAAGATTTCACGCTATAGAGCCTAATTCGCCTTTTTCAAACTGCAATCACCATTTTCGCCTTGGCAATTTGATTAAGTGATCAATCTTTTCACCAAAGATTCACCAGAGATTAAGGATAGAAGTACAAGTGGGCTTCCAATATCAACCAAAAGTGTCTATTAGTGGTTGTTTAAATAGGCTAAAATAATTCGATAATTCAACTAAACTGTGATACTTCCCTTTTCAAAAATTATTTCTTAGGCTACGGAAATTTCCACCCTAAAACGCAAGCTGGTCAAATTCTTTCGATGATATATGCGTTTTGCGGCATTCCTTTAGTTTTTACTATACTTTTGGAATGGGGATTTCTTTATTTTACTTGGATTGAAATATTCTGGAAGTGGTTCAATTGTAAATTCTGCTCTGGTTCTATGGAAGCTCACTTAAAGCGTCGCATTAACAAAGAAAAGTAAGTTATCTTACCGTATTTTTTGCAAATATTATAAATAAATAAGATCGTTGCTCGCCTTAAAATGACCAAAAAATTTAGATTTCGCAGAGCTGGCAGCGAATTGTCGCTTCGATCATCTTCGGTCTTACCTTTGATTCACAAGCCTCATAAAGATGCGATTTATCAAACTGATCATCAGGTTCATAAAAAAATTTTAAAGCACTTTCGGCTCAAAATTCCTGGTTTTCGGTGAAAAAAGAATTAACTTTATATTTTTCTGGTAAAGAAATTCCATATCAAAATTTGGAAACTTTTTGTTAAAATTTGGAAAGGAAAATAAGTTTGCAGTAAAAATGAAGCATTAATGATACGTTGGCAATATCTTTATTAGAATGCTAGATTACTAAAATATTTTGATAGATCGAAAGTGGCAAGCGAATTGTTCAACTCGAGGTTGAATTAAGTGATGTTGAAAAGCAAAGAACTGTTCCGCTTAAGGCAGCTTTGATATTTTTCTTCTCATGGATTCTAATCAGTGCATTTATTGTCCGACTTTGGGAAACTAATTGGACCTATTTTACTGCTTATTATTATTTCTTCACATCACTTACAACAATTGGTAAGCCGGTTTGCCCACCGAAAAACTTATAAAGAAACGACTCCTCTAAACTAAAAGATTTATGGAAAATTGAAAAAAAAATTTCTATGAAAAGTTTATTCTCTGCGTGATACATTACTAGCTAAATAAAGGATGATAAAGGAAAAGATTTCACTGTTTTATTTTTGGCTATAAAGTGCTTTAACATAGCAAAATAATACCAATAAAGAATCTAACTAGGTGATTAGCGTTCACTATTTCTGGTTAGACTCGCTCAACTGGCTGTTAGTATTATGCAAAATTTTTGTCAGAGAGCCAGTCACTTGGAGAATAGAAATGCAGGTGGGTCGTTCTCATTTAAATGATATGTTTATTCCTGTGGTGGCAGATTCTGAACCCTTGTCTTTCTCAATACATAATCTGAGTCCACTCGACTTTCACTCTTCGTCCAAAAATTATTTTTTGATTTCTTGATAATTTTCTTCAAGAAAATCAAGGCTGTTAAAAGTTAATGTGAAATTTGATGGCCAATATTATCCAAATTGTTTCATTCTCATCTAATTTCACTGGGACCTATTCATTCCCTCTATATTTCCTTCAACACTCCAACAAGCCTCTTTTTAGCGTAATTAAGGTCGCTTTTACCACAATCCACTATGGACACCACCAAATCGAGAAAAAACACCTTTCTTTTTTTTGCTTCTTCTACCTATTACTACAGTGGTTCTATTTTATCTAGGTTACAATATATAATAGCATCGCTATAATTGATTATAGCTTCTGATTATCCATCATACAGCGAGTATTAAGGAGAGAAGTACCATGGAAATAGGAGATACTGAGAATGAAATTGAAATTTGAGGATGCTAAGAAAAAATAATAGCAATTTGACAAATGTGGGAAGCAGAGCTCCACGGAATGTTGAAGGAAGTTTGAAAGGATCTCAAGAGACATACCGGAATTTGTTTGACGATATGTAGTGAGGAGAGCATGGACCAGTTTCAGATTGATTTTGCTCATTTATTAAGTACGTTAACATTAGATAATTAGACATTGAAAATCGGTTTTTCAAAGTTTATCATTATCAGGCCTTGGCGATGTTGTTACGGAAACACCGAACTTTATCATATTCAATCTTGCGTTAACGATGATTGGTTTATCAGTCGTCGGTCTCTGCATTGCTATCGTTCAGGTACTGCGAAATAAATCCTCAAATTTCTGCAATTATTCAACTTTTTTAGTTTCGGCTCTAAAATTTGATCGTTTGTGTGAAGCAGCAAGATTAAATGATCAGTTTTTGAGTTCAAGAAATTTAAATTTAAATTTCTTTCGTTAATATCAGGTTTGTTAGCATTTTTTGCGACAAAATTACTTTATGTCCTAATAATGAAGGCGAAAATCCGGTTGATTTTTGACCGCATGATTCGGTCGATCGACGGACAATATCGCATTCGACAAATCGATCCAGATGTAGCAACGATGACATTGATCACCAATGAAAAAGAAGGAATTAAAAGGTAGATTAATTATATTTTGTTAGATAATATATAAATTTAAACTTTAGGAGTTCGCTAAAGTCAAAAAAGTAAATAAAGATAAGTGGTTAGCACCGTTTTTGGTTGGATGACTTCCTCTGTAGAACAATTAGAACAATTAGAAATTTCTATAAGGAAGAAATTTGGTGATATGAATACAAATATGTCGTCGCAGAAATCGGATTTTTTGTTAACAGGTTTATTTATTCCTGCAAGGAACAGCAGCCGAAGCGTTGCCTTTCAGCACAATAATCCCAGCACCTATCCACTTGGCTGCCTCGCCCCCTAAAAGTTAGGAAGCAAAAAGATTTGAAAACTTTTTATTAAGGCTTAGGAATTATTAAGGAATTATTATTTTTAAAAATTGAGCGAAATTTAGGTTATGCGAGGCGCAACCAATTCAAGATCGCATAATTTATATAGCTATGGATGAACATAAAAAGCAACTTCTTGAAGACAGGTGGAAATCACGCAGTAGTATGATCAATCGGTAAAATAATTTCAATGATCCATTTTCTGCTTCAAAAAATGATTGCGTCATAACAAAGCAAAGTCTTCCCAGAACATTAAAATTTGTGCAAAATAAAATATTTTTAGCAAAAATCTTTCCTTAAAAATGGTAAATGCCATCGTTTTGCATTAAGGGTAACACAAACATGGCCAAATCGAACAGATAAATGTATACAGACAGGTCAAAGGGTTGACGAACAGCCAAGAATGAGACAAGAAGGTACCGACGAAAGTTGCGACGAGGATGAAGAAATAGAAAATGGTACCGAAGTTGAATATGACGATATAGGAAAGCGAATTGTGCCTCCGAGCAATAAAAGATACATTTATACAGTTTTTGACTGAGATTTTTAAATTTTTATTGCCAATTTCAATAAAATATATTCTGATCTTATTCACAAACTATTAACTATTAAGTTATTCAAGGCCGACTGAAAATAAATTTAAACATTAAAAGTACAGTGCAAAGTTAGCGCTATCGATGGGTACTCTCATTTTGGGAAAGGTACTGAGGTTCTGCTTCCTGTAAACTTTTAAAAATCTGCGTGATGCTGGCGGTTCACCTGTACTTTTATCACCGAGTGACTGCCTGGTAAATTTGGTCCGACAGCAAAGCAAGCCTAACCAGAAATGGCGATCGTTTTTGGAAAAAAGAAATTGTCTTGATTAAGGAGCAGAATGACCGAAAAATATTTTGTTTTCACAGTGAATTCTAGCATTATGGACTCTACCTTCTCTCCTTGAAGAATGTGAATTAAGAATGTGAATGTGAATCACTGAAAGAAAAGTACGGGGTGGTGCTGAAGACGCATTTCAAAATGTTTACTGATTTATCGCCAATTTAAATAAATTTTATCGGATTGTTGAATTATTTTTATAATTACAGATAAAGTTATAACTCTTGCTATTTTAAATGAGTGTTCGTTGAACGAGGTAAATGCTTTTTAAGTTTAGGCCATTATGCCATTGTGTGCTATTTTAAATAATTATTATTTGATATTTTTTCAATTTATGCTGCGAGTTCTTCTCATATCACTTTTTTCAGCTAGGCTATGATTCCAAAACCTTCTAAGGCTTTCACAGAGTAAAAAAGAAAAGCAAAGTGCATCACAGCAAATACGGATTAAGTATAAAAACATTGTTTTTATCGATAAATGCATTGGTTTAAATGATTTGAGTTGATTTCACTTTCCTAATTTACTTTCATCGCAAGTTTGGATCAATCAAGCAGTAGCACAGAGTTATTAGCTGTTAACTATTTAAAGGTTATTAACTCGCTTGACTGAGTTTTGGGGCAAGAAAGATCTTCTTTTGAACGAAGGTGGATGCGTCAATTGAGCAAGAAAGATAATGTGGCATGGTTGCTCCGATTCACGGTTATCATAGGTTATCATAGGTTCGATTCGCTAGCCCTAGGAGGAGTAAACCGACATTGGTGGTACTACCCACTTGTACTTCTATCACTAAATGATTCCTTGAAAATTTCTAATTGCTTAGCTGACTAAGCCTAATCAAAAATTGTAAGCCAACCATTTACTCACTTTTTACTTCATCATTTCAGGGTATGTAAAGTATTTTTAAAAAAATGAGTAAATAACCTCTACGAAATTTTCCTGACCTATTTTTTATAATCACTGAGTCAAACAGATATAGAAACAATTAGCATTAATAAGATAAATTTTACATGGCCAGTTTAACAGTCTCTTCGAATACAATTGCGGCAACTCTTTCTATTTTATTGCGTTTTCCTGAAGAAAATTTCTTTCTGGTAGTGTTATTTTCAATCTTTCAAAAATCTTTAAGATCAGCTGAAAACTAATAGAAAAGTAAATGCGAGAAATTTTTGGGAAAATAGAAGATCTTTTTTCTCCTCGTATGAAAGCACCCATCGCCATTTTCTCCAACGGGAACGTACGCACATCAATTTACCTTATTGCTCGCGTCCAATCGACATACTTAATTTATTGTTCTTGTCGAAAATTCGCTTTATTACTGAAGATTTGCATTCCAAAAACCTGAGCCATCACAAAAAAAATCATCTTGACGACTTATCCCCGTTTGAAAATAATTAATTTTGATTTTCGTTTCCGCAAAATTGCGAAAATGACGCGATGGCGCGCAATTGACTAACGCGAGTCCCATGAACCACGCCCATAAACCGAATCGCGATGCGGTTATGACTTTTTACCTGTTGCGCTCCTTTCCATTCCAAACATTTCTTGTCAGTTGAAATTTGGATGTGAAAATCTAGATAAGGCGAAGTTTTAATGTTTTATTATATTCTAATTTTTCGAAGTATATTTAGTATTTATAGGAAATTAAAAATAAATTTTTCAGTAGTCTTCTCGAAAGTAAATTATGTTTTGAGGGAAAAATTGTTCGGAGTGATTTATTTGTTTTCAGTAGAATTATTAAGCAGTTTTCTTCTTTTAAAGGCATTATCGGCCGATACGAATGATAAATATTGAAAAATTTCCTCATTTCGAAAAAAATATGCGATGAATCGCAGAGAAGAAAAAAAAAATGTTGAAAATATATGCAGTTACAAGAGCAAATATAAAAGAAAGACGAGAAATAGCCATTAAGATATTTTTAGCTATAATAATGGCTGCATTACTTGAAGGTTAAGGAGCTGTAGCGGGCGATTCAGTGAAGTGCAGTGGGCCTTCAAACCGTAACGGAGGGAGAACTGCATGTATACTGTCGGGGGGGGGGGGGGGGGGGAGTTTGAAGGAAAGGGAGCATTTCATAAGGAATGCTGAGGAAGCAGGCATTTGGAGTAATGAAGGAATATGAAGAGGTCGGAGGTTGATTTAGAGAGTATAATTGAGCGCATCACGGACTTCTGCGCCACCAGAAGGAGTGGCGGCGTTAGTGTGACAGCATCTGAAAATGTAAAAGGCGCTTTTAGTTGCTGGTTTCCCCGAATGTGCATGCGTTCATTTGCTTCATTTCATATTATATAATAGTTCGCAAAATTTTTATTTAAATAAATACCGAGGAAATTGTCCTATAAATTGTTTTTCATTTCTGCAGTCCACATTATAATTTTTTGTTTAGCTTTTTATTCTAAAGTATGTTGTAGTTTTTTTAAAATTATATTCAGATGTTTCGAATGGTTTCTTCGCACAAATTGAAGGTTTTTCTTCATTGTGGACATTTTAAAGACATTTATTTGGGACAAAAAGATTTTTCTTCATTCACTGCTTTTCATTTATTATTGAGTAATAAAAAAATTTGTGTATTATGGCGGAACCAATCTTTTCACGCATGGAGGAATCTATTTGTCAGCAAACGGCGCCGTAAGCTTTTTAGAAAGAATCCAACGATTGTTTTCGGCCATATTCATTTCATTTTTTAATAAGCTTTTTTTCGTTTATTTTTTTATTATATATGCCCAATTTCCATAATTGGTGATAGGAATCATTTGTATCTAAAGTTTTTAATGCTTGCAATGCATTTGTTCATCGTGGTGAAAATGCAGTGAAGGCTTCGGATTTCTTTAAGAGTTCGATGAAGTCCACTGAAAGCTACAGTTTCCTTTGAGAGACTAGCAAAAGATGCGTATTTTTTTCATTCTCTTATAATATTAAATAAAATAAATATATGTCGTCAAAATGCAAAAATTTCAGAAAATTTTTTTTAGTTAAACTCTTAAATTATTTTTATTTAAAATATTTTTAAATTTATAAATTTGATCAAATATCAAAAGTCTCATTGAAATTGTAGCAAAATATCAAAATCTCTATGAAAATTCAGTTAAACGTTCAATTTCGACTAGTTCTTACCACTTCAACGAAAGCAGTTCTTCGAAAGCTTCTGGTATTCGAAAATTTTTTTTTAAATTTTTTTTTGATAAATTTAGCTCAAATTTTCTTTCTATATGAAAATCAGTTAGCATTAATATTAAATAAAGTCATATTAGCACTATTATTCACTTCTTCTTCTAATTCTCTTCTAGTTCTCACAATTATTGGTTAGTCTAGTTCCGCTGACTACAAGAGTAAGACATTTCCATGCTATGTTATCTGATGCTATCTTAGACAATATTAGAAGCCATTCCTTTTTCCATCGTCTAAGTCCATATATATTGTTGGTCCATCTATACGTTCAAAATCTTTCCTAACCGTATCAGTTCTGGTCTTAATTGGCCCACCTCGCTTTTGACGCCATGCATCACAAGGCTTGGCAATTAACCAATTATGTGTCAGCTCTTGTGGTTGGCGACGAAGAACGTGCTCTAACCAGGGAAGGTGTTCTGTAGTGTACTATTAATACAAATGGTATTTCAACGAAGGTCATGTGCGATTTTATTCACTCGGTGGACGACTTGTAAATGTACTTTAGACGTGAGTGGTCGAAGGCAAATAACTTTTTAATATCTTCCACTCTCATTGACCATGTTTCGCTGCCATATGGCAAGATCGAATGAATCGTGGCTACAAAGACGCGGACTTTCCGTTTTTATGGTGATTTTGCGACGGCTGTATAAAGGTTTCGTCAACTGGAAGAGTATTTCTTACTGCTATTATCCGGGTTATAATTTCATCTTTTGCCTGGCTATTTGGTACTAGAGTGAATTCAAGGTATTTAAAATCGGGTACTTCCTCAACCAGTAATGAGTTTGTAAAAAGAGGCATTTTATCAGTTTTTTGCACATAAGACGAAAAGTCTTTCGTTTTGTTTACATTGATTCTGAGTCCGATTCTTGCTGCAGTTTCTGACACGTTATTTAGCATTACTTGCATTTCGTCATAACTATCAGGAATAGATCATCAGCGTATTCAAGATCTGTGATATGATGAATTGGACTGATTTCTACACCTCTTGAATCATCCGACGAGGGGCGTCGATTATTCAGTCCATCGCTTAATTAAATATGGTAGAATGGCTCAGTGGGTTGTTGCTCAGTTCGGAGCGCCGCCGCTGAGATTTTATTTCCCGCAGGAGTAAACCTATCCAAAATTCCATGTGATGCTGGTGACTCACCTGTACTTCTATCTCCAAGGGACTCATGGGCATATTTGTCCAATGTGACAAGCCAGTGGAGCGAGTTTAACCAGTAATGGTGAGGACTCTTAGACGAAAAAGAAAGGACAACCTTGATAGACAGTAATTTTTATTCAATTCCCCATATACACTGACGTACGCTGATGAAATGCCTTTATAAGTCGAATGATTTTTTCTGGAAACGCCATCGGGTTCCATCATTCTCGAAAGCGCCTCTCTAGCAATTGAATCAAAGCAGCCACAAAGTTGATGAGACACGTAACGGTGGATTGCAGATATTTGAAGCGATATTCCAGCACCTTTTTTAATGTGAATATCTGGTTAGCGAGTCATTCTTTTGTTTGAATCCAGCTTGATTAAGGCGATCCTGTTGTCCTGTATTGCCATAAGTCTCTTGAGTAAAATGGAAACAAAAATTTTCGCCGCAGCATGTCCTGTCATCTTTCTTGTGAATTGGAAGCAGAATTGCTTTACTCCAGTCATCTGGAGTAATCTGGAGTAATATTTCTTTATTCCATATCAGAAAGTACATTTGTTGAAGGTGTTTTATGAAGGGCGATGGAAAACATTTGAAGGGTTCAGTCCATCTTCTCCGGGGACTTTATTGACCTTAAGCTTATGGATAACGGAGATAATTTCTTTTTCTATTGGCGGTTCGCAGTTCCAGATGTATGGTTCGGCGAACCTATCAGCTATATCAGGGACTACAGATGGTGCATGGTTAAGTTCGGCCTCGAAGAATTGCTTTCATTTAATGAGACGATCCTTAATACTCTTAACAGGCACACCATTGCTGTCCCTTACCATTTCACTGATCGTTCCTCGAGTCATAATTGCTTTATGAAGAAGGCGGAATAGTTTTATATATAATAGTTAATAGTTTTCTATTATCGCCTAATAGAGCCGCCGCCTCCATTCTTGAGGCCATGTCACTCCAATAGTAGCTTGTGTATCGCCGTGCTGCTATCGTTGTAATTCTTCGAAGAACTCGGTAAACAGAGTCTCCTGATATTCGTGTTTTGGCAGTGCTTTCAGACATTTTGGCTGTTGCTTCCGATACCCAACTATTATGACCTAGCGTGGAAGTGGCCGACTTTCGGCGACATTCCTTTATTTCGGACCAGTATTCATTTGCCGTTCCAGAAAAGTCATTGATATTTGTATCACTGTGATGCTTCAATAATTCAGTTTGAAATGTGTCCCCGAATTTTTTAATTTGAGATAGGGATGGGACCTTGAGGGATGCTTTTTTCTGGTGAGTTGCCAATTTTATTCGGATTTTGGCTCGGATCACAACATGGTCAAATCCATGAAGATTGCCTGTTTCAGATAGGAACGATTCTGGAATCGAACTTTTCCAACGTCGATTGACTAAGATATAATCTGGTTAAAATGTTGGTTATCGGGGAAATTCCGCTTGACTAGATGTTTTCTACGACGTTGGAAGTATCAGTAACAAAAAGCTCATGCTCTTTGGCACAGCGAAGAAGGCATTTCTCATGGATGCACCGGTCTCTGATGCCATATTTATCGTGATCATAGCAGGGGCATTATGATCCACGCGCCCATTCCAGTCTCCCTCAATTATGACCATATCATGTTTCGGAAGAGATTTTGTGAAATTCCGCATAGACCTTATCTTTATCTCGGTCATATGCCGACACAGATAGTATTATTCACTGGTCTTAGTGGTAGATTTTGTCATCATTATTTATTTAAAAATTTTGTGTGGTTATTCATTCATTTGACTGCCAGGCCAGATAATATCTTACTATTCACAATATTTCATAACTTAAAAAACGATTCGCTAAAATTATATGTTGTTTTACTTATTGATTCTTTGCTTGCAAATTTTTAAAATGTTGGTATTTTTTTTAGAAATTACACATTATAGGCGATAAAGAAAAACAGAATGATCGTCGTCGGAACGATCCTTGGTTGAAAATAGAAAAAACATTGTTTATTATGCTTGTTGTTGTTCTTTCAACATTAGTGCTTAGTGATCGATTTGTTCCGCAACAAATATCTTGGACTTATTTCGTAAATGATCTTCTTCCTTCAGGACGAGTATGCTTTTGAATTTTTTTTTGCCAGTTTCTGTAGTTTCGTGTGGAAATTAGCTGGTGCAAAATATTTAAAATATTGTATTTATTTATATAAGTATTTATCATGTTTTGTTGATTGTATTAAATTTTTTTTGTTGTAGAGAATGGAAATGAAATTTTTTTTCTGTCTTAGGTGATTGAGATCATTGTTCAACACGATGCTGATATTGCATTTGTTCGTGTTGCTCAAGAAGGGGCAGCTGAAAAAAACGTGGTCAGTAATTTGCAATGACCCAGAGTCATCGTTTCAGTATTATTTTAAAAGTTTTGTTCCTTTAATTTCACTTTATCTGCTTATTCAAAGCATTCAACCAAACAGCGCTAGATACCTTGCACAAATACCAGAAATAATTCAGCTTGAAATAGCGTTATGGTGATGCAATTTATGAAAGTACAAAATCTTTATGTCTTTACATCATATCTTTTATTTATGACTTCATTTAGTTTTTTTTTTAAATTATATATAGATGACATGTAGACTACAACACTGTATAATTTGTTCCAATTGTTAGTTATATCCTCATATAGTTTATAATTTAATACTTCAATAATTTCGATAACTTCAGTTCGTTTGATTTTGTTGCGTTAAGATTCAAGAAGGTAGAGTTAAAATTATAGTATTTACTATGATCTTAGGCTGATGTAACCAAGTAAGATTTTATGAATAAAAGTTTCTTAATGAATTTAGTTGATCTAATTCGGTTTATAAATTGAAGGTGACTTATTGTATGAATATTTCGGAGACAGATCGATTCGAGAAGCGGATTAGATCACTTGAAGCAGCTGTTGGCATTCCACCAGAACTCTGGGTACCAATACGATATGATCGAATCAACTGGCATGGGTAATTTGTTTTTTCGTTGCGACTGTATAGTTCCAATCCGGCCAAGTACTTCCTCATTTTTATTCGATTTGAGTGATCATTTATGAAACTGTTTGGGTCTTATTCCAGGTACGCAGTGTCCCTGCTATTGATTTTGTTCGCTATATATATCTTGATGATTTTGAATCGCTTCAGATTTAAAGTTAATATCAGTGACATGATGGTAAGTTTAAAAATGGTGGGCAATGAATTAAGTAATGCATTCTTTTATCAATCATGGTTCATGTTTTTTAAGTTTGTATGTATGTATTAAAAAATTCACGCCAAATGTTTTATATTTTAAAAAATTTTTTATTCGATTTTCTTATATGTATCCACTACTTTCAGGCGAAGTTTACGAATAAGCAATTGGAGATACTAGATCCTACAAATAAGAAAAATTTGAAGATAAAGTTTAAAGATGTGGCTGGATTACACGAGGCGAAAGTTGAAATTAGCGAATTTGTCGATTATCTAAAAAATCCGACTAAATATTCTGTTAGTGTCGCAAAATTTTTTTTCCACTGAAAAAAATACGCTATTGTCGATATCAGAAATATTATGTGAAACCATATTTTAACAATATTTATAATAAGGATACTGGAATCGCTTCCATGAGCTGAACCCTAGCCTTCTGTAACTTTTGAATTTTAGCTATTATTAAATTGAGTGGCAGTCTTTTCTGCTTTTTTTGACAATAATACATACTCTTCTTTAAAAAACAGTTCAGTATATTCAGTACTTACCATTTTTGGTTTGGTTGGCTTCACTAGTTAATAGAAACCACAGTTAGAAATTTTGATTGAGGGGACATATGATGGCAGAAATACAGAAATGTCACCATTACCACTCGAATGTTCCCGATGAATTTCAGGTTTATTCCTGCTGGAGGCAGGAGCCGAACCCTTCCCTTTCAGCACGACAGTTTGAGCTATTATCCACCATTCTTCCCATTGTTTATAGAAATGGAGGTGAGTCCTTAGCATCCTCAGGACTTTTTAATGATGGGTTCACTCTTGCTGGAAACAAATACCGAACTGTGGTGCTTTAAGCCACTCTATTATTCTCTTTTGTTTATAAGTGTAAAGCAGAATTCCCTTTTAACTTTTTAGAATCTCGGTGCGAAATTACCAAAAGGTGCATTGCTTACTGGACCTCCTGGATGTGGTAAAACATTGCTGGCAAAGGCATTAGCCGTTGAATCTTCCGCTCCTTTTATTGCAGTAAATGGCACAGAATTTGTTGAAATAATTGGTGGTAATAAATAATTGTTTGATTTTTATATTCTCAGTCTGCTTTCGGACTTACTGTTTTCCTTATCGTGCTTTACCGTTTTTTTTTTCTGAATTTGACTAGTTGATACAATGACAGGCTTGGGTGCATCAAGGATAAGAAATCTTTTCAAGGAAGCAAAAGCGAGAGCACCTTGTATAATATATATTGATGAGATTGACGCAATTGGGCGGAAGCGGAGTGGTAATCAAGGGAGGTATGCTACTTTTTTTTCAAATTTTATTCCATATACTAAGAGATTTTTTATAATTCTAATTTTTGGAAATATTTCATATCGTTCAATTTTCGATATATCTAAAATCGTTGTTTGCTGCTGATGTTTAACGAAATGATACTTTTAAAAAATATAATCAAAAAATGTATCATCTACTCAGACAAAATGCTCTATTTCATATCAACAGTTTTTCATTCTTTTCCATTATTTAGCTTGAATCTTTTCTCATTTTTGAATTTTCGATAGTTTTGCCTTTAACATCATTAACCTTTTCATTTTCATAGTTCTATTAAATTTATTCTTTATTCAGAATTATTGAATTTCATTTTAGACTCGATGGAGGCAGTTCGGAAGAAGAGCAAACTTTGAATCAATTGTTGGTCGAAATGGATGGTATGGATTCGACTAAAAGTGTTATAGTTTTAGCTTCGACTAATCGAGCTGATATATTGGATAAAGTAGTTTTACCCACCTCAATTTCCACTTATAATCTTATTATTTTCGTACTTTCGCATTTTATAATAATTTAATAATTTACGGGAAAAAATTATTCTCTTCAGGCTTTGCTTAGACCTGGTCGTTTTGATAGGCATATATTGATTGATCATCCAACAGCATCAGAGCGGCAAGAAATATTCAATTTATACTTGAAAAAAATTAGGCTTGATAACGATCCAATTTATTACTCAAAACGTTTGGCTCAAATGACTCCTGGAATGACTGGTAAGAATGTTTTTTGTGTGCAGATTATGTAAACAGCCTTATTTGAAATTCAAATAATTTGAAAATAATGAACTTGATTAAATTTTTTTGATTTCTAGGTGCTGATATTTCAAATGTAGTGAATGAAGCAGCTATTCGGGCAGCAACAACTTCAAAGAAAATTGTTACGGTTGAAGAACTGGATTATGCTTTGCAGCGGATTTTAGGTGGTATGCTTTTTGTCAGTTTTTTTATGAAATTTGTTTTTGTTATTTGTACAATGTAAAAAATAATTCTTTCCGTTGGATTGTAGTGCCATATTTTTACCTATTTGTTAGGATCGGAAAAACGAAACAGTGCCCTATTAAAAGAAGAGCGTGAAGTTGTTGCTTATCATGAAGCAGGTCATGCTATAGTCGGATGGCTTCTCGAATACACTGATGCGCTCCTTAAGGTTCAGTGAATATGTTCGAAAGTGAATTACTCAGTATATATCAGCTATGTAAAATCCTATATTCGATATTTTAAAACTATTTAACTAGATTTAATATATAACATAGTTAATTTAATATAACAGTAATACTGGCTTTATTTAGATAAGTATTGTGCCACGAACCAATGCTTTGTTAGGCTTTGCGCAGTATAGTCCTTCCGATAGAAAAATTTTGTCAAAAGATGAAGTTAGTTTAATTTTTTCTATTTGCAAGTTAGATTGAAGTTTATTTAGCTATAGACAAACGTAAACGAAACATTTTGCTTCGTTGATCTTAAAGAAAAAGTATCCAGCTAATTTTTCTTTCATTCTTGCTGCCATAACAAAGTGTTTTTATCTTTTTAAATCATTTCTGATTAGTAATGGTTATGGCTTCATAGCTTTTTGATCGAATGTGTATGTTACTGGGTGGGAGAGCTGCTGAAAATGTTATATTCGGTAAAATCACCACAGGAGCTGAAGACGATCTTAAAAAGGTTCTTAAAATCTTAAAAATTTATATTTCACTGAAAATTTTATATTCGGTAAAATCACCACAGGAGCTGAAGACGATCTTAAAAAGATTCTTAAAATTTTAAAAATTTATATTTCATTTCTTCAAGTATTTTTTTAATTTTTAAATACCCATTTAAATGGGTATTTTTAAATACCCATTTTTTTAGTTTTTAGTTTTTTAAGCGCCTATTTTGTCCTATTTTCCAATCATCTGTTTCGTTTCCGATATAGGTTACGAAATCTGCATATGCCCAAATTATGTTGTATGGTATGAACGAAAAGGTTGGTCCTTTGAGTTTTGCCTCGACCGACGCAAATATTCTGAATTTCTACGAAAAACCTTTCAGTTCAAGATTGCAGAAACTTATGGATGAGGTATCTTTTTTTTTATTTTTACATTATATTATAATTTATTTTACATTATATTTTATTTTTTTATTTTTACATTTTCTACTCTTTTCTGTCGCTCGATTTTTGATTGATTATTTTTTGTTCCTTTTTTCTAAGCAAAAATTTTCACTCTTCGAGTGATAAAATTATTCAAATTTTATATATATTTCTTTTATTTATTATTTTTGTTATTTTTATTCTAAATATTTCTTTTTTATTTATTATTTTTATTATTTTTTATTTGATAAGCTTTATATCCAGAATCTTTTCTCGAATTATCTGATTTTGCAAAGAATCCAATTTTTCTTCATGTATTTATTTTTATTTATTTATAATATTTATTTTTGAAATTTAGGAAGCGTCTCAGTTAGTGTCGCGTGCTTATTTTTTTACCGAGCAACTTTTAAAAAACAATAAAGAAATGCTGGAAAAGGTTTTTCTTTTTTTTTTACTTTTTTGTTTTTTTTCTTTTGTTAGTTCTTAATTGTATTAATTTTTTTTTCAATACTTGCAGTTTCATCAATTTTTGTAAGAATCGTTGCTCTAATTTTAGTTTAGTTAGACTAAATTTTAATTAAATTTTATATTATGTAATATTCTTATATTACGTAATTTTAAGTCGTTTTCTAGCTTGCAAAAAAATTGCTTGAAAAAGAAGTATTAAATTATGAAGAAATCAAAGAACTCATTGGACCGCCGAAATACGGAGAAAAATTCTGCATAGATTTAGTTGAACATGTTTTGCCTCAAACAGATTAGAATGCCTAATGTCTAAGTTGAAGGTAGTTTTGTACATTTTTTTGAACTTAATTAGATTTGTTTATTCTGATCAGTCAACTTTCTTTGATTGATTTCTTTTAAATCTAATTATTAATTTAGATTTTTCATCATGTTCTTTGTGGTGAGAAACTGATTTTTGAAGATAGTGACACTGTATTAATAGCATTTTATTGCTGATGGTTCGAGCTTTTTTCATTTTATCTTTGTTTTTTAAACGATTATTCTTTTTTCTTTAGTGATATTTAAATTATGATTTTAAATTACATTAACAGGAATTTTTTTTGTCGCCATATTTTATTTTTTATTATATAAGCCGTCGATTTTTAAATTTTTCTATTTATTTTACAAATAAATTTTTTACTATATATTTGTATTATAATTGTTGTAAATGAGTTTGAAAATCAGTTTATCTGTCGAATTGACCAGAGCTATCTTTTTGCAAACTTATTCGGCTGCATTTGAGATTTGCAATGCGTTTTTTTGAATATTTTTAGACAAAAAACGTAAAATTCATTACTGTATTTTTTTATATCTATTTTTGGTATTTCTTGATATACAGCTCATGGTTATGTTTTTGATTTCATTTGGTGTTTGAAAGGAGTGAAAATTGTTGTTTGATTAATGGTTCGATAATGTGAGCTTTTTTAAGTCTATGGGTTTTTTATCTTACAGATGGATCAAAATATGGAAGAAATTGAAATTGTTTTTGCGCAAAAATTGGCCGCTGGCGAGCAGGTTATACGCAAAAGGGCGTTTAGGTTGTTGCGTAACTGGATCAAGGAAGAAAGCGGAGATAAGAGTATTTTATTTTTTTGTTAATCTTTGATTTGGATAGAATCGTAGATGTAGAAGTAATCTCGTATTTAATAAATGGATTTGTTGGGGTCATATTAATTTTATATAACAAAGGCGTGAAAAAAGAGCATCCTATTTTAGCATTTTAATTCGGCTGCATTTTTACGAAAATGTTTCGAAATTCTGAAATTTAATTCCTTTACTGCTTTTAGTCATAAATTCTTTTTAATTTTAGCCAGTTTGTGTTCGATATGATCTTAACATATTGCAGGATTCGAGGCAGAATCTATGGGTCGACTTTGTAAAGGATTGCATTATGCACTTTGGATGCAAGATGATATGCTTATTCAGGAAAAGCTAGCGGATAATATTGCTTCACTAATTGGCAATTTTAGAAGCAATGAGCATTCAGCTCAGTTCATAATGCATATGTTGCTGGTATTATCAAACGAATGGCACAGGATCGATCGTTGGCGTATGGATAAATTCCTTATGGTTTTCTTTGTGAAATATTTCATATTCTTTTTATTTATTTTGTTAAATTTTCTACTTTCCATCTCTAATTTTCTTTTTAAAAAAATTTTCTAGAGCATCCTATTTTAACATTTTAATTCGGCTACGAAAATATTTCATTCTGAATGCTGAAATTTAAAATTGAATAAAATAAAAAAATAAAAAGAAGAATGAGGTGTTGCATTTAAATAATTCTACTGAATTTCAACCACAAAAAAACACTATGCTTTATTTTAGAAATTGGTGTTTTTTTTGTGTTGTTACATTGATGGGGCACATGATGAGAAGTGATCTTATCGCTAGATTTTTAAAGCCATTTAACTGCCTTATTATCCTTTATAGCTTATACGCCGACTCCTTCGAGCTATATTCAAAAGATTGAAGAGATTTGGTTGGGACGAATCGTTGGTGAAAACGTACCTCGATGCTTTTAATAAATGTGTCATTTCACCAGGTTCATCTTTCCCCTCAGTTTTTGGCCTTATTAATAAATTATTGCTTTGAAGGAATTAAAGCCAGGAATTAATTAAAGTTTATCTATAAGGCGTTCCACCAGGTTCATTTTTTCCATCAGTTTTATAAGGCGTGATTTATAAATTTTTTAATACATACTAATTGGTCAGTTAATATTTTTTTTTTAAGCACAGTTTTAAGATAAAGGGCTGTTAAAAGTCATTTTATTCAGCAATTTATTGCAGATAACAGTTTTTGTGAGGGTCTTAAATATCATTTCGCCTCTGTCTATCTTGATGAATTGGATGGTGCAGGTTTCTTTTTGAGCTTGTTAAATTCGCTAATTTAAATGTTTTTCACGGGTTTTTTTGAAGCCATATCATGTTATTTTTCCTTTTACTATTTATTTTATAGGCGGATTAACATCAGAGCAAGTTACGCGAATGTTGGAACCTTATTTTAATTTACTTGCTTATAAAAATATTTCGTTAGTGTTTTTACTCCTTTTTATTTAAGCATTTAATCATATTTCTGTTCACACAAATGTTTTTTTATAAATATGGCGAAATAGGGCAATAAAGGTGGTAAGATCCAATTTGCTAAGGTATATGTGGCTGAGTTATATGAATAAAAAAAAATATGGAATTTTCTTTTAAAACGAACGAAACGGAATAACTGCCAGAATCGGGAGAGATTAGTCAGAAAATCCTTAAGATCAGAATTATAAGATAATTTGCATTTTGGACTTTCTATTGGCTTTATATTTTATTGCAGGGAAAATCTTTTTGATTCAGTCTTAGACGAGATATTCGTCACTATACTTCATGATTATGCTGAACAGCGAATCAATTCAGGGCACAGTATAACTAGAAATGAGAAAGATGTATTTAAACGTGGTGAAGTGGAAAACGATGGAGATCGATTCATTAATGAACGCATTAAGGTTGCATATATACATATATATGTATTATCTATTATGTATATATGTATGTATATATATATATATGTATTATATATATATAAAATCAAAAATACCTTTAAATTCTTTTATAACCGTCAAATGTGGTATTTCAGTTCGAATATGGCATAATCGGAGAAGAACTATTAAGGATTGGTGGGAATCATTCAGTGATCACAAAGCGCAGAAAAAAATTATATAGACTTGCTCGCAGGTTGGAACTATTTATCAGAGATATGGAATATTGCTAAGTAAAATGGCAACCGTTCACCATTTCTGTATAGGTTCGCTGGTTGTTAGTACGATTAGAATTAGAATTTTCTGCTTGGTCACTCGGCGAAAGAATTATTGGACCATCAATCCATGTGGAATATCTATATTGTTCTCATTGCGATCCATTTTCATTTTAGATTCATGGCCGCCGAACAAGGAGGCGAAGTTTTTGAAGAACCAGTTCCGTCAAGTGTTTTAAAAAAACCTGCAATCACTAAAGCTGATATGAAGCATGCTGTATCGAAATTTATTTCTTTCACTAATAAGCATATATCGAAAACCAAAAAGACAGTTCCAACAAAAATCAGGTAATTCATGTAATGGAATATTCCAATCGAAAAATCCTTTATGAATATATTTCATAAGAATTTTTTTTACAGCAAGCGAAATTGTGTCGGTTTTCAGCGAATTTATTCGAATAGAAAGGTTAGGCAAAAGAACAAGAAAAGTAAAGGAAACAAGAATATCATTTGATAATTTTTTTCATCGATTATCCTTAAAGTCTAGTACCTTCATTTATCAACCATCGTTGTGTTATTCAATGAATTTCTATCATTCTGGATATTAACGAAGTAAAGCAAATGTTTAAAAATTGAAATTATTCAGTTCCGTTTCTACATTTTTCTATGTATTTTTTTTGCATAATAAAATCATAGTTAAACTGAAAATTGTCATTAACACATTTGGCGTCAGTTTAGAAAAATATGTAGGAAGGAAGAAGGAAGAAATTTTTACAGTCATTTTTAAATACAGTGACATTATTATAGAAAAATGAAAATTAATGGAACAAGAAACATTTAAATATTTTCTCATCCTTAGTCTTTGTAAAATCTTGAAAATTTAGTTCATAGAGTTCATAGAATTAGTTTATATTGAAGTGGATTTGGTTTCTTAACGTGCATCAAAAGATAACTGATTTATTTTCAAATTTCTTTTATACATTTCAAATTGTATTTAACACATGACCTTGTTAAATCAGCTAAATCTTCTTAAACTTTTAATTTTTTTTTTACCAAGCAACGATTGAAATAAAATAAATCAATTAAAATAAATAAATTAATCAATCAAATCAATTAAATTGAAATATATAATATAAATAAAATATATATATATTTTAAGATTTAATTGCTTTTTTATTCTTTTATTATTTTTAAAGTTTCATTGTCTATTTTATTATTTCCTTTAATTTTTTGTCTTTGGCAGGACCTGCCATTATGTCAAAAATCCGGGTGAATGCCGGGGGCCCACCTGTATCTTTATCCCCGAATGATTCTGTATTGAAGGGGTCAGATATTTTTGATACGGCATCCGCGTCTCCCGACGCGCATTATATTCCCAGCTCGGTGGTACATGCGATAAGTTTACAATCTGAGCTTAAAGCGATCTCAATTATAGTAAATAAAATGTGCTCTCAAGCCAGGGTAATTGCTCGAAATCTATCAAGAAGGGGAGCAGCCCTCTGCACACTCGTCGAGGTATTAGCCGTATCAGCGTGGAACGTCAGAACGCTTATGGACGTTGCAAGCCAAGCGATCACTGTCCACACCCTTTCTAAATATCGTGTGGATATCGCTTGCTTGTCGGAGGTCCGTCTTCCTTATTTCGGGTCTCGAGTGATTATTAATCCTGGTTCAGAGCAGAGATACTGGCAATATCGCTGTGGTACTTCGGATAACTCGGGACGAAATGGCGTAGCGATTTTCTGACGAACCTGCTCCGCTTTGATTGAGTGGACGAACCTGTTCCGCTTTGAATGAACCGGTAAGCGACCGTACGGCCTATGCCCTTTTAGGGTAAGTTCTGCAATATCTCGGTCATCAGTATCTATGCTCCAATTCTGTTGGCAGATGATCGAAATAAAGATAAGTTCTATGCGGAACTTCAACTACTAACAAAGTCTCTACCAAAACATTTCATGGTCATAGTCGGGGGAGACTGGGATGCATGCGTAGATCATAATGCCGCTGCGATGACCTCTACAATTGGCAAATATGGCATCGGAGACCGGTACGCCATTCATCGTTATGCCGAAGAGCATGAACTTTTTATTACTAATACGTGTTTCCGGCGTCGTAGAAAACATCTAGTCACGTGGAATTCCCCGGATAAACAACACTTCTGCTAGATTGATTATATCTTATTCAGTCACCACTGGAAGAGTTCCGTACTACATAGTCGTTCCTATCACGGCGCTGAAACGGGCAATCTTCATGGATGCGACCATGTTATGGTTCGAGCCAAGATCCGCATAAAATTGACAACTCGCAGAAAACAGCATCCCCCAAGTTCCTTCAACTATCTCAAACTAAAAAAATCAGGGACAGTGAGTGCATTTCAAATCGAATTATTGAAGCATCTCAGTGGTATAAATACCTATGATTTTTCTGGAACGCAAATGAATACTGATCGAAAATAAAGGAATGAAATTCAGCCACTTCCACGCTAGGTCATACTAATAGGAGATGCTAGTTGGGTGTCAGAAGCAACAGCCAAAATGTCTGAAAACATTGCCAAAACACGAATATCAGGAGACCTGATTATCGGGTTCTTCGAAGAATTACAACGACAGCAGCACGGCGGCACAGAAATCACTATAGGAGTGAGATAGCCTCAAGAATGGAGGCGGCGGTTCGACTGGAGGCAATAATAGGGAACTATTTCGCCTTCTTAATAAGGCAACTATGATTCGGGGAAAAACAATTAGTGAAATGGCAAGGGACACCAATGGCGTGCCAGCCAAGAGTATTAAGGACCGCCTCATAAGATGGAAAAATTCTTTGAGGCGAAACTTAACAATGAAGCACCATGTGTTACCCCTGATATAACTGATATGTTCGCTGAACCATATGTTTGCAACTGCAAGCCCCAGATAGAAGAAGAAATAATATCTGTTATCCATAAGCTTAAAGCCAATAAAACCACGGGAGAAGGAGTAAAGCAATTCTGCTTCCAATTCCCAAAAAAGATGACAGGATGTACTGCGACAATTTTCAAGGAATCAGCTTACTAGACGTGTCAGCGAAAAGTTTTGCTTCCATTTTACTCAATAGGCTTATGGAAGTACGAGAATGCAGGATGCGCCTTAATCAAGCTGGATTCAGACTGGGGCGCGGTTGTTGCTGACCAGATTTACCTTCACGTTATGAAGAGTGTGGGAACATCGCTTCACATATTTGCAACCCACTGTCACGTGTTTCATCGACTTGTCTGTCAAGGTTGCGTTCTTTCCCCTACAGTATTCAACTATGCGATAGACTAGGTAATGGACACGGCTTATCTGCATTCAAGGGGTATTCAAATCAGTCCAGAGCATCGTATCAAAAATCTTGAATACGCTGATGATGTAGTCCTTTTTGCTGACAGTTATGACGAAATGCAAGTAATACTAAATAACGTTTCAGAAACTGCAGCAAGAACAGGACTGAGGATCAGTGTACACAAAACGAAAGTCTATTGCAAGAAACTAATAAAATACCTCTTTTTATAAATTCATTGCCAGTCGAGGAAATGTCCGGTTTTAAATATCTTGGGTCCACTCTAATACTAAATAGCCAGGCAAAACACGATATTATAACCCCGATCACCGCAGTTAGAAATGCGTTCTTCAGGTTGACGAAACCTTTATAGAGTTGTCGTGAAATTACCATTAAGACAAAAGTCCGCACCTATATAGCCGTGATCCGTTCGATCTTACTAAAT